AAAAAAACCCCCCCCCCCCCCCCCCCCCCCCTGAACGCGATGACCGTAGCCGTGGCAGGGAGTGAAGGTGCTGCCGCATCGACCGCGTCAGAGAAGGCGCTGAAGGAGCTGGCCGCACTAGCAGGGGAGAACATGTCCTCCAAGATCAATGTACGTTTCCATATGCCTTGGGTTGTTTTCCATATAGGCGGAGAGATGCCCCCCCCCCCCCCCCCCTCAAGAGCGGTTTTTAAAGCTCTATTAGTCCAGAACCAAGCTTGTGCCATCATTAATAGTGGTGGTTTTGGAAACATGTCGTTGAGGGCTTTCCGTAGTGGCATGCGGCTCTTTATTCACCCACGTGGTTGTGAAAAAAATTGAGCTTTGAACGTCGGCCTGACGGGGTGCCATCTCCTCGCCTCTTACAGTCGGGTGAAGGCGAAATCGATTGATGGCACGTGGCCCGGAACAGGCGTTGATCCCTTGGCCGGTTTTCTCGTAGTAGCGCGCGCATTGGAGCGCCTTTTTTACAAGCATGGCCTACTGCTGTAGGTGGCATGATGCAAGATCCCACACCCCCTCGGCCGATTTTCGAAGCTCCATTACAATACTCCACACCAGAGTGAGTCACAGCGCCGAAAACGGCGGCGCTGGGACCGCCTCGTCGAGACCTCTCCGAAAAAACACAAGTTAAGGTTGGCATCCTGTTCGTCCTGGAGTGGGAAAGTATATTGCCACTTTTTTCTCTTGACGCCCCCTCCCGCATACCGCCGTCTTTCCCATCGTCTCGTCCCAGGCACTGGATATGGAAAACCCGTGGACCGTTGCAGGAGAGGGCTCGGGTTCTGCTTGTGCTGCTGCCGATGCAGCCGGCGCGGGAGGAGCCGGGGTTGCCGCTGCTGATGGCCAGGCAATCCCAGTCAAGATCGAGAACAGCATGTTAGGTATACGCTCGGTTACCCTATCCGTAAAGCCCTGACCCAAAGAGTCCTAACGCTAATCCCGAGGTTTTGGGCGACGACGCTGTTTACCCTTTACGGGTACAAAAGTTTCCTGTGACCACGGAAAGCGTGCGCGTGAGTTGGACCGGAACATAGATTGTTACAAGGCACTGAGGAGGCTTCACCTGGCAAGCTTTCAACAAGAAATCATGTCGCGATACAGCAGTCCTCCCTACATTTAATTTGTACACGCGTTGTCGGCCGTGCTTTTTTCCGCTGCTCTAGCGTGCCTGCGTGCGGCACACTTCTGCGCTTTCGTCTCTGCTCGTGTGTGTCTCAGCTGATGTAACTCTTTTTCCGAGACCGGAACGGAATTTTGATGGCAAGGCAATCATAACAACAACAACAACAGCAACACAAATGATGACACGTGTCCGTCACAGAGGCGAGCGCTGGAGGTTCCAGCGGCAGGATCATCGGGGGTGGGTCATTGAAGAGAAACCGCACATGGTCCATGAATTCCTACGAGTGGCTTAGGTCTCTGAGGTGGGTGTTTTTTTTTTTTTTTTGGTGGGTGAATAGTTACGGTTACTGCCTGGCGTGTTTCAGCTTTCAGCATTGGTACCTGCAGCTGCCTGTGTAAGTTGCCCGTTCGTCATGACATTCATTACCATTCTGAGCAGCACTGTTTTATTATTTCACTGGCGCGTTATTTCATTATTTCATTTATACTTTTTTTTTTGTTTTTCATTTTTTCATTTCACCATTCGATGCTTGACAGTAGTTTGTCATTTAATACTTTTTTTTGCTTTCTCTTTTCTCCAACAATTCTCACTTTTTTACCATTTTTCTAGCCTTTTTTTCTTTATGGGATTTTTCATAATGTATTTCATTAGTGGACCCTTCTCCTTGCCGCTCACTCACCCGCCATCGTCGCCATCACCATCACCAGCATCCACTCTCGGTGGCACTGTGCCATTCGTTACTTCCTTCCATTTCTTCGTGCAGTATTGGCTCACTAGTTATTTTTTTGTTTCCGCTAATATTCTCCTACACCTTAATTTCATTGTTTCACATTTTTTTTATTTTTTCATGTTTCATTTATTTCATTTATTTTCATCATTTCCTTTTCTCCGCCCAGATGGACCCCTTTTCTCAATCGGATAACCTTTTCTGAAGAGGTCTGTTACCTTAAGGGTTGCGTGTCACCCGAAAACGTTGAACGACATTAACAGAGCATCAACCTGGCATTTCGTACGTACAGGTTTCGACAGCATTCCATTCAACGGAAGAGTTGACGCGGTATATGCCATCAAGACTGTCAGTGTATGTACTCACGCGGAACCGTTATGTCATTTTTTCCTCCGCAGAGACCCGGACCCGCTGGGGTCGTTGGAAAACCAGAGCGGCGTTTCCTCTAGCGTGTCCAAAGACAACGGTAATGGCACCAACAAGGAGGGCGAGGCGGGGGAGGATACAGCGGCGTGGCGTTCGGCGGAGGGCATCGACGTCAGCGGCACAAGCAATGGCCACAGCGGTAACGATGCCGCAGTTTGCACAACCCCGGACCGCGAGAGGCACAAGCGCCAGCGGAGAGCCTCCCCCTCCTGCTCCTCCTCCTCGCCCAAGCCGGAACGCGGCGGCAGCGCTCCTATTGTGACTCATGGCGAGGGTCTTGCCGATGCCGTCGCCGCCACGGGCAACGAGAACAACAAGAACAGTGGTTCCTCATCCGGCGAAAACAACAGCAGTGCTTCCTTGCTGTCCGGTGATAGAGGCTCGCACCACGGATCTCTTCACACGGTGTGCAGCTTTCAACCGAACTCCCCCCTGCCCGCTGGGGACAGCCTTTCGAGCATCGTCAACGCAGCGGAGACTACGCGACAGAGTGTGGCTGCGGCGGGGGGCTCCGCAGGGAACGGGGATGTGTGGGGGGGTGGCGCACTGGTCAAGACCATGTCGGAAGGGGCCACCCAGGTGAGATTCAAGCAAGGCCAGCTTCGCTGTTTTGACGTGGACAAGACGGCAGGGGGGGTAGGTCGTGTCATGGAAATCGATGCTTTGAACGTCTGATCGTGGCTCGTACTGCTGTCTCAGCATGGAGTGCTACCTAGTCGGTCTGTAGGCGCGCATCTTGCGAATCCATCGTCTGGTTAGCACGCCGCGCATGTTGGGTTGACTCCGATTGCTATGATAGCTCAGGAACCGCGTCACTTCCATGCTCTTGTTTGTTTTCCGGAGACCATTAATGAATTCGCTGCTGCTGAAGCTGAACTTGTAGGACCACTGTCGAAAACGGGAGTAGTCAGTTTTTTTGGGGGGTTATCGGTTGTCTTGTACCTTGGTCTTGTGCGTTTGGTGCGGCTTTTTTTCTAGGTCGAAGAGCTCGACAGCGGTAGCTGTCATTTCGATAAAACTTTGTATGTCGCACAGATTGTGTGGTTCCATCCTGATGCACAGGTTTGGACTCTCAAAGAATGAACCTAACCCGATTATTACTTCCCTTCCGCCCCCACCCCCCTAACCAATCAAACAAATGCGAAAAAAAAAAAAAGATGGTGAGCGAGCTGGGTGAACTGGGACATCGACAAGGAGAGGCTTTATCGAAGATCGACAGCCTGGGTCTCCAGCTAACCAACCTGCTGGACCCCGCACTTTTAGACGTGAGCGTTTTCCTCTTGCATGGCTTCTTTTCGACGTCCCTTCTTTGTTTCATACTAGATTCACTTTTTTTTTGCGTTTGTTTTTTTTTCCGTTATGTACTTACGGCAGCGGTCCCTTCGTAAGCCCGCGACAATTTGGCCTGCTCTAGATGAGATCCGGAAATCGTGCGACATAGTTGGATTATTCAATTTGCCTCGGACTGTTGAGTTGTGTCGGATGCCTCTCCAGCGCTATCACACATTTTCTCGTGTCTGTCTGTCTGTCTGTCTGTCTGTCTGTCTGTCTGTCTGTCTGTCTGTCTGTCTGTCTGTCTGTCTGTCTGTCTGTCTGTCTGTCTGTCTGTCTGTCTGTCTGTCTGTCTGTCTGTCTGCCCTGTCTTTACATTCAGCGCCTCGTTTGAAGTATCGTGTTCCCTTTTTGCAATTTCGCACTGCTGTTTCTTGTCGCCTCCGGCCCGTCCATCTCATTCCCTCCTTTCGCTACGATTTCGTTTTTCCGGTATCGACTATATGCAGGAAATGATCATGTTAGACAGTACCAATGATGGTGGTGCCTTGGATGTCGATGATACCACCGCTGCCGTCGGCAATGAGACAGCAACACCAACAGCAGCACCATCAGCAGCCACTATCCCTGCCTTCGGCGATGGCAATGGCGTGGCAGACCCCTCCATCAACACCGGCTAATACGCTCATGACACGTTCGAGAGAGAGAGAGAGAGAGAGAGAGAGAGAGAAAGAGAGAGAGAGAGAGAGAGAGAGAGAGAGCGAAAGAGAGAAAGAGAGGCGGCCGTGGTGCGGATGTTGACGGTGGTGCTACTCATCGTGGGCGAGCACCCGAGCAAAGATCATCTGGCGGGCCTACGACATAGTGAAGTATACATCGGCGCAAAGGCGGGCCTGCTTTGTGGAGTTCCGCCAGTCGGCTTGCTGTATTCGGGAGCGGTACATTTAGGAGGGGGGTGGAGATTGATAGGATTTTCGTCGCCGGCATCATAGACAACTACGGTCGGGGGTTGACTGAGGATCGCATGTATGCTACAACAATATCCAGTATCATAGACGACTGCAAATGGGGCTTGGATGATGGTATAACATGTTTGATATTTTCTTGGATGTTTTTCGTCGGTTGTGTTTATTGTCAACAATATCTGTTTTTGGGTAGCCAAACAGAAACCGCATCGCGTCACCTCATGACGCCAAGCGTAGGCTGAACGTAGTAGACCTGCCCATTGTCTGTGATGACTATCATAGTTGTTTTGGTTACGAGCCGGGGTGTTCAGCCCCGGAATCCATGTAGCTCTTCCCCCCCAAACGGAAAAACGCGGGTCTTGGTTTGTTGCCACTTACAATCGTCATCATGCATCTTGTCCAAGAGTCACCGTTCTTACTGGGGGAGGCAGTTTGGGCGGTATGCTAGCCACTCGATCTGCTTGTACTTATTTATTTGTCGGTGGTTTTTTGTTGAGGGTTTTTGTTTAGTGTGCGGCTTTGCTCTTGAGTTGCGCTTTATCCCATCCCCCACGTTTGGGAAAAATTTTGTTGTTCTTTTCGGAGATGCCGAGTTCTTGTCTGAATTGACTTGCGGCTTCGTGCCATTGTCGACCGTCGTCCGGCAGACCACTCGGCAGGGTCGGCGGGAGCATCTTCAAGCTATTGAGTTGGGTTCGAATCATGGCATGGCCGTAGGACGGTCTGTGATTTATGTTTGTGAGTTGGGTTCGAGTCATTTGGCCGTGGGATACTCTGCGAATTTGTTGGCTGCAACACTCGAGCCTTAATCACCAATGACATCACGTAGGACGTAGCATCAGGGGCCCACTTGTGTGCAGGAGGTGCTCCCAACAGGCGATTGCGCGACATTTGTTTCGGATCAGGTCTAGCGTCCGCTTGCAACTGGCTTGGTGTACACGGGGGCGAAAGCACGAGACCCCGACAGTGGTGGACCAAGAGGTTCTTCACTCTAGGATAACACGATACCTCAGGCCACAACCTGTGTTCGTTGGAAGACTCTGCATGCAGTGAGTAGACATCTCGGCGAATTAGTCTGACCAGAAAGAGCCTGAATTCATCTGATCAGAAAGAGCCTGAATGAATCTCAGAAAGAGCGTGGATTTCAGCAAAAAACGGAATTTCGGCAATTCGGGTGTCGCCGTGCCTAGAGGCGGGGCAACAAACAGCACCTTCTCGGGAGATCGTCTCCCACCAATCACCAATTTCGGTTGTGGTTTGTTGAGTTGTGTCCATGTTCTTCTGGGGGCGGCTGGTGGAATTTCTATTCATTTTTCCAATGAGAAAAGGTTTTGTGGCACGCAATTCGCTGGTTGGTCAACACGCCTGCGGCGGAGTTTCAAAAAACAGACACGACCGAAGATCCTCAGGTGGCGGATGGCCTCGTCCACGGCGCAGTCGAGAACGGCACGCTGGGAATCGATGGATAAATTGCCCTTGTGGGTTCGTTCATCTCGTGTCTCACGCGTCTGTTTGGTATCACGATGGTGCATGGCATGTTCGGCTTGGGAAGGAAGCTCTCGTGCATGTTGAGTCCCGCTGTTGGTGGAGGACCACCGACCGATATACCTTCACTGGTGATAAGCGGGGGGTTACTTTATCGGCAGCTCATACAGTTAGGGTACAACAGAAACGCACTGAACCAGTGAACGTTGTGAGTCTGATGGATAGCTCGATCACCACCCACACCTTCATGTTGACTATGAAGCGGCCCCAACTCCTACTTTTGAAGGGTGGCCAGGTGGAGATACGGTCCAATCAGGGGACGTAACCGCTTAGGATACGAACGTCTTGGTTGGCCCGACACCCGGCCCGCTTCTTGTCCGTCTGTGGGTTCCAGTGGAGCCCCAACAGCGACTAAAGAAAATAGTTTTAGTACAGGGCAAGGGGGTTTTCCCTCTTTTGCGTACACTTACAAAATTTCACGTTTTTTCGGGCTTGAGACGTTCCTTGTTCCTTGTCGCGGCCTTGGGGTTCCACTGAAGACTCTACTAGCTGTGTTTGTTGTCGTTTCGTCGCCGCCGAGCGTTTCTCCGTGATGTTGGTGCTTTAGTTCATTATGTCGCATTGAGCCGCCGAGGTTACACCGCCAAACGTTGATCCTAGGTAGGCAATGAGCGAAACAAAAAAAATGTCCTTCCAAGTGAATGAATCAGAGGAACGCGGACCGGCACGTTATCTCAAGTTGGTTGTCCCCAATCACCACAACCAGTTTTTTGTTTTCCTTGGACCCGCACAGTGCTCCGGCGACAACGCGCCAGAGGTGGATGGCGGTATTGAATCTCACTCGTGGGAAACGTGCTGTGAGACTTTGGTTTTTTTGCTCCAGTGTTTCTACTGGAGGAGTCCCAAGCG